TTTTACAAATGCGTGATGCAGCTGATGAGATAGAACAAGCTGCTCATTTATTATATATTATGTCAAAGACATATTACGATGTTAGTAACCAATATATGATAGGGCAAGTTGCAGGAATTTCTCGACTTGCGCTTATTCAAACAGATAGTGAACGACAGACTTATATGGCACAGCTTGCTCAAGATACATTATCAACATCGGCAAAAGTTTCTCGAATGGTTCTAGAAAGAAAACAAAATTACGAACAACGAAATCAAGCAAGACAATATCAACTTAAACAATTCATTCAACAAAGTAGTTTAGAAGGATTAGAATCAAACATTGGGAAATAAAAAATATGTTCGAAACGTATAAAAAGTAAAATAAACATCATTTCGTTGATTAATATAAACTATTCTGAAGATATGAATGTGCTTAGAGAGATAATTAATGACTAATACTAGATTTTTATTGCGTAAGCAATCCTCTCTGAAAAACGTGTTGTCTTATCTATCAATAACACAACAATAGTATATGTATCGAGTTATGTATTGGTATGTTTGTCATTCATGAAGCGGTTTCACATTAAACACACCGATTGAAAAAATAAAAGAATTCTTCGTTGAACTTTTGTACAAATTATTATCATCACTCTTATATAAATCATTTGATTCTGCTTTCGACACATTAAAAGATCGATTACTTTATTAAATAGTGATATTTATTTAATGTTATAAATATAGTTCAATCAAATGGTAAACTGAATGTTGTTGAAAATTCTTCATTTTAAAGAATTCAGAGTATATGTTGATGACTGACTAAAGGTTTTTATTTATTTTCTATATAATTCGATAAATATATCTGAATGTATTTTTAGTTCATTTAATGATCAAGAAGTTGAAGAGTAATTTCATGTTAATCTAAGATTATGATATTGTCAACATTTCATTTAACTGAATATCAGTTGATCTTTAATATAGAAGGGTGTGAGCATGGGTACACTATCCATTGAACACCCACACTCTCAGGAGAGCCTACTCAACCCTAAAGATACAGTCGTCTATGTTAATTGAAATTTATGATTATTAGAAAACAGAGATATCATGAAGACTTTTCCTGTCAATTTCATTTGTTTGACTGTTGTTTTCACGTTTGTTGATGATAAATGCACTTATTCTACAAGCCTAAATAATGGATACATGCAAGCTCTCAGCCTAAAGAATATACTAAGAAGAATGATAACACCTATTTTAAAGGTATTCTAAATTTTATGTCTATTAATTTGCGATGACGAATGACGTTGTTTACTTGGATAAGTCAGCCAATATTTACCAATATAAACATTTTTATTTCACTTGCGATTCTCCAATAACAAACATAACTCCATACTTTTTTTTCTATCGAAGCAAACAAAAACACTTATTTTTACGACCTACCTCGGTGGTTAATCAACCGTAACAATATTTCATTAGTTTCTTTTTCCGTTCTTCGCTTGTTGTTTTTCATCACAGCACCATCCATCGTCAAAGAAAAGACATTTTGAAAGGACGTAGACACCTTTAAAAATGTGTTTGATCATTACTCCACTAATAAGTTTTACGCAATAACTCTAATTCAAACCATTCACGCAGAAAAACAATGATCAAAGCGAAAACAGATGCATCTACAGTTTCAGAAAGTGAAAAGGTCATCAGTATATCGATGCCCAACGAAAGCAAAATGTTCTTCTAGTGTGGTTAGCCAAACATATTGACGAGAATAACGACAATTACCAAAATCTTGAGGATCTGGATGTGGATGTGAGTGCCTCTGATGAATAAAGAGAAAGAAACTCATACTCACATTCACAATAGAAATGTGCAGGGTAAGCATTTTTTATACCCTAACCGTACCCTTTCCTAATCCCACCGTATCCTCACCCTACCCTATCCTACCTTACTATCTCCACCATTTATCGTACCCTAATCCTACCTTACCCTATGGTATTTAAATCATTACCCTACCCTACCTTACTAATTGAAATTTTTTTAATCAAAGGATGAGTACTTATGATAAATAACTTTTTTCATTTTGTTTCCAAATAATAATAACTTTTGATTATTCAATACATTTTCTGAAATTTCTTGATAACAAAATATCGTTCACAGCATCTTCGTTTAAATTTTGTATTCTTTTCTCTAAAATTCGACCACTAGCACCGAAAACTCTTCCGCTCTTTTGTTGTGGTTAAAGTTCCTTCTTTGAGTTGACGAATTACATCTTTTTTTTTTGTTTAATGTGAGCTCGAGGAGATTTTGTTGACATATTCATACAGACAAAAATATATAATTTTTCAAAACAAATTTAGTATTATGAATAATGAATAAAGGAACTTTTGTGCGAGAACGTATATAAACAAGGAGTTATATTGTGATCTGTATTTTGATTTGTTTTTCTTTTATCTAGTATATTTGTTCGTTTCTGTCTTACAGAAGATTAATATAAGTAAGAGAAAGATGTCGTTCTAAAGTGATATATCTAGTTATAAAACTTACCCTAACCCTAACCTACCCTATGACTCTCTTACTCTAACCGTACCATACCCTATGACTCTCTTAACCTAACCCTACCCTGTAGGGTAGAGTAGGGTCAACTTGCACATCTCTAATTTACAACCACATGGACACTCACACCCTACCTTCAGTTCAGTTCAAGCGGACTGAAACTGCCACAGTCCCAGTCGAAAATGAGTGTTTGATAACAGTGTTGCCACCCTGTCTGCTTTCTGTCTGCTTTTTCTGCTTTTTTTAAAAATATCAAATCATTGACTTTCATACATATTTGTAATCAATAATTACTATCTGAACGATCATGTTTTAAATTTTAAAAACAGACTTTAACCAATAATGACTCATATTATTATTTTGTCCTAGTGCAACTTCTATTATATAACTCCTGTATTCTAGTGACTAAAAACGAATCCAATGTATATATTTTATATTTATTCCATTCTTTATCCATTTCTCTTTTGTCATTCTTCTTATGATTTGTGTGACTCATACAAATCAATATATATATATTCTTTTGTATATTTGTTGAATGAACGAATATAAAAAATCAGCGTGAATTGTGTAGATATTTATTATATAAAGGCAATAAGAATGAGTAATGAAGATATTATTACTGATGAAGATAGTATTACTGATGAGAATAAATCTGAACTCTTAACAATTGCAAATCAGATGAAAAATATGTGTTTAAAATAAAATGTATCTAATAATTCTATGTATTTGTTTTTCTTGTTATTGTACAATGGAATCAGATAATTCTATTTATTTATTTGTTTGATTATTTTTCTAAATCTTATTTAATAAAGATTGAAATTTCATAAGTAATTTGCAATTCTTATGTAGAATCTACGCTTTTTATAGTGGATTTATGTACGAAACACCTTTTCTGCTTTTTTTCCGCTTTTTAGTAGTGAAATTTCTGTCATTTTCTGCTTTTTGGACTTCAAAAGATAGCAACACTGCAACCCTGTTGCTAACTCAATCTGCCAGCTCAGTTAAGGTAAAAATATTAAACAGAATAAGAAATTTTTGACAAATATCATTACGTATCGTTCTACCAGTTTTTAATGAATAGGGTGAGCGTATAAAAAGACTTTCCATTTGTTATCGTCTGTTTCTTTCTCTGCTACAGAAAAGGACTTTAGATTCTTTTCTCTTATCAAAAATCATGGCAAAGGACGAATAAACATTTGTTTCTGGCTTTTACAAAAGAACGTTTCACTGTTGACAGCATCTCAGTTAATGATATCGGATAAAATTTCACATCTGGCTCCGTTTGACGTACAATCTGTTGACGGGAGAAAGAAAATTAGGTTCCAGAATAGCATAAAACTCATTTCATCCAACACAATTCAATATCTCAGTTCTATTTGGAACAAACCGCGTGAGTTTTTCACCAATGTTATAGGGAGGTCCGTATGTAATCTTTACTGAATGTCGGTTAACTGTTCAACTTCATCCATATCGAATCTGCTTTAAGTACAATTTTTTCCTCGACTACTCACGAAACTTTCCGTGAATGACGAATCTGACGCAGTTGTCTCTTTCGTAGATCTATATATCCTCGATTATTCTTTTATGTTGAAGAGCTTAAAATTATGAATATGAATCATCAATTAGAATTATTTTTTAAGATCCACCAGAGAAATTATTGTTTTGACGATGTGGGTATTCTTTTAATAGATACATGCATATACGTAAGTGAAGTAAGAAGCCGATTCGAGTATTTCTAGCAGCGATTTGTCTATGATGCGTTCCAGAGGATTCCAGATGAGTTCCAAGCACAACTCAACGAGCTCTATCGAATGATGTGCTCAGAGTTTTCGTAGCTCAAAGTAAAAGTTTTTCGATTTTGATGGCGCCATCTGAAGGCTAAAAAAATTTTACTTTGAGCTACGAAAACTCTGAGCACACCATTCGATGGAGCTCGTTGAGTTGTGCTTAGAACTCTTCTAGAACCCTCTGGAACGCATCATAGACGAATCGCCATTTGAAATACTCGAATCGGCTTCTTACTTCACTTACGTATGTGCATGTGCCCTTAAAAAAGCTTATCAGCGCAGCCCCGTTGGGGCTAAAAATGTGGAACTCACGTATGTTCGCATCGAAATATCTGATCATGTTTAAGAGCTTTGTCTTCTTTTTTTGCTCAAATTTAATTAATTTATAGCTATTTTTGACAATATTTGGTTATTTATATTAAATTTGCGGCAGTATACAGCTATTTTTAGCGATTTGTCGTTATTTTCATAAAAATTCCCGCAATTTATAGCTGTTTTCGTTATTTTAATTAAATTTGCAGTAATTTATGGCTATTTTTAACTATTTTTGCTTATTTTTATTAAAATTCTACTAATTTATAGCTGTATCTGACCATTTTCCTTATTTTTTATAGAAAATCCTGTAACTTATAGCCAATTTTAACGCTTTTTCATTATTTTTATTAAAATTTAATTAATTTATAGCTATTTTTGACAGTTTTTGGTTATTTTATTAAAATTACAGCAAAATATAGCTATTTTTGGCGCTTTTTTATTGCTTTTATTAAAATTTTAGCTATTTTTTACCATTTTCGTTATTTTTATTAAATTTTTAGTAATTTATGCCTATTTTTAACTATTTTTGCTTAATTTTATTAAAATTCTACTAATTTATAGCTATATTTTACTATTTTGCTTATTTTTTATACAAAATTCTGCAATTTATAGCTAGTTTTAACGCTTTTTCATTATTTTTATTAGAATTTTAGCAATTTACAGCTATTTTTAATGATTTTTGCTAATTTTTATTGAATTTTTTTTGGGGGGGGGGGGGGGGGGGGGGGGGGGGGGGGGGGGGAGCTCGAAAACTTGAACTTAAAACTTACACTCACGATTTTCTTCGAAAATTTACGTGAGTTTCACAAAATGTGTAGAAATATAAAGAAATAAAATTCTTTTCTTCCTAGCTATTCTTGCTGGAATGGTTCGAATTGCGTTAGGGCACTGTACGTAATGACTAATTAGCAGCTACAGTGTATGAGACTGCATCTAGATGGCTGGATAAAAAAACGTACTTGTTTTACCATAGTATTTTATTACTCATAACGGCAAAGCTTCAAAATACTAACTAGCTGCGAAAGAAACTGTTCGTTGACAATCAATGTCTATTATTTTTGTTTGTTAACATTTATCTGCCGTGTAGAGTCACTTATTTGTCGAGCCCAAGCGGACGTACGACAAATCTAAAAATCTTGAGTAACGGCCATTTAGACATTCCCTCTTTTGACAGCGGTTGGTGAATTTATTCATCGATAGGCAACCTCATGAACTTCGAGCCTGTTGTTCAACATCATTCTCATCCCCTAAAGCACGAGCTTCCTTTTCTGATTAATAGATGCGATGTGCATGTACTAATTATAAACAAGAAAACAGTCTATGAAACCCTATTGTTGATGAGGATGTCAAATAATTTAAACAGCTTGACGACATCGCCAATAAAAAAATAACAGAAAAGTATACGAGAGGTGCGTGGGTTTGGTTGTGCGTGTTGTTGTGGGTGAGTTTGGGTGTTATTCTGTTCTAATATTCTCACTCATGTTCATACTAACACCCACACATAAATCCACCCCAGATCCACCCACACCCACTCTCCAGTCGAAAGCTACGAATATATGCTGGTGTCGGATCAAAAGTCAGGCATACAGGATACCAAGTCGTTAATGCCCAATAAAACGTATATAATTTACCGCTGTATTGACTAAAGATATGCTGTTATCAGATCATAAAACACGCAGAACAAAGAAAAACGAAAAGGTATACGTGGCAGTTCTTTGCGATCATTTTCCGCGATAAATAATTCTCAACAATATACAACAGCATCTACTATTATCGTGAGTATTAGTTTTGGTATTTTAGAGTGTGGATGTGGGTGAAAAATAGATGTAATACGAATACTCACAACCACATATCACACCCAGAAATGATAAAAAAATGGAAACCGTGTGCTTCAGTTATTTTGTTTGAGATATCCATCTCATCTATATGCATTCAGAGCGATAAAGAAGCATTTACATCGATCCTTATCAACGAAAAAATATAACGGATGGTTTTTTTTTAACAAAAGCAAGCCATTTTAAATTTCTACTTTCATTTCACACAATCAACATTAAGAAAGCAAGATAAAGGTAGCTGGGAGCGTGTGGATGCTCAGTTTTTAATCATCCACCCATACCCATATTCACTCACACCCATATTTACCCACACCCACACATATTTTTGTCTACTACGTTTGATCGTTATCTAACAACACAAAAAGAAATCAGTAGCCAGATAATGGGCGACTAAATCAGATATTTGATATAAATATGCGTTTGTTACGTTGCAGAAAACATTTTTCTTCATATGACGACTGAGACGAGGAATAGTTTGGATTTAGATAAATATAGTAGTCTACACTAAGTAAATCAATAATGCATTGATTTCTCATTCACGCTGTCGACGATGCGTTTTTATGCCCACACACTTGCTCTCACTCACTTACTCTTTCAAACATTCACAGTATGAAAAGAATGAATATTATGTTGATAGGAATCCTTAATGAAATAAAAGAAATAACCGCTTGCTGTTTAGTTTTATTAGTTGACAACTATGCGAAACATTCAAAGTTTAAGTGATTATAAACTGAATGAAATTAAATGTTCAAGTGTGTCGTTCGTTTTCAGTAACGTTGGCGGTAATTGCATCTTTTAGCAAAAACGCTCCGTGTTTGATAGTTAATGTCGGTGTTGAGAATGACTGATTATCCGTGAACATTTCAATTGTCATATTCTTGCATGATGCGCTTAAGCTATGCGTTCCTCCTTTATTTAACACACCATCCACACAACCCACTTTTCCTCGATTGAATCCTGTGCTTCCATACCAAGATCGTGCTGCATCGCAGTTGCCCGCATCACGAAAAGTCCAACCATAATAATTGTTGGCATTGAATCCAACTTGTAAGTAAACATTCAGTCGAGAGCCAGTGTCTTTGCCAGATTTATCGTCAACTCTAAAGCAGAGCGAATAAGTAACTCCCGTAGCAGCAATGGGTGTTTTGAAACCACGTATTTGAAGCACACCCATATGAGTTGTATTACCGGCCTCTAGGAAATTCAATGGTGCATCCAAGTTGCCGTACCATTGATCGGAGTTAATTAGTGCAAATCTGTAGGGTGATTGATTAGTTAATGTAAAAAGAAAACGTCGGCCAACAGAATCAAAGCCGGTACTAGCGGAGAAAAATCCAAGAAATAGTTGACTAATAAGTGCTGAAGTGATAAATACTGGAGCTATCATTATAGAAGCAAATAATTTACGTAGCAAAACGTTTCGGAGATTGAAAAGACACTTACAGTCTGTTAACGGCTTTAAATTTAACTCCAGCGTACATATATATACATGTATCGCACTTTGCTTGCAATTAAAAGTCCATGGGAAGATCGACCATATGTCGAAAAGCAGCCTACTGAAGACATGCTGTGAGTGCGCTTCTTTTTCGGCGAAATGAAGAGGGTTTCATATCTCTATTAGAACGACTCTCTTTATTAGATTTCGATGGGAATATGAGCTTATCTTTCATTTAACAACCTGACTCATACCCACCCACTCTCGTAATCATACTCTCACACTTATAGTCATATCGTCAACATAGTCCTCTGTGCAATGACAATTACGCAGAAGTAAAGCTTTGCTCTCATCCTTTACAAATATTTTTATCTACTGTGTTTGGCTATTACTCAGCAAAAAAGAAAAAGAAAAAGAAAAAGAAAAAGCAGCAAGATAATAGACGTTTAAAACAAATATTTGATGTAAGTATGCGTTTGTTATGTTGGAGAAAAAAATTGTGTTTGTGTAAGAAACGGTACGAGCGATAGTATGAGTTCGAATATGTATAGAGTATGAATGAGCAGATTTTGACAAGGATTTATGTACTGTGTAGGCGTTGCGTACCCTAATTTTCAGCTTGCCTATCCGAGAAAGAACACGTAGATGAAACACTACTCAAGCAGACACAGAAAAGCCTGTGATAGACTCGACGAGTGGTTGAAAGTCGAAACATATATCTCTTATTCATTCGATTTTGATTTCGAGCCGCTCGATAGCCGTTGAATTTCGAGTACTCGAAAACTATATCCTGCCGAACATTTATTTTCGACTGAGGCTATGACAATCCCAGTTCACTTGAGCTGAACTGAGGGTAGGATGTGGGTGTCCGTGTGATGGATGGGCATAGGTATAAGTATCTTCTTCTTTATTCCTCACAGGTACGCACACCCACACCACAAAGAGAACGGTATGGAATCCTGTAATCTTGAAATCCTGTAGAATCAGACGGAATCGTATGGTATCTGGCGGAATCGGGTAATCTGACGGGATCTTGGAGTCCAGCGTGATCTAAAGAAATACTAAAATTTACAGAATCTAATGAAGTTTGATAGAATCCGTTAGATTCCTTCAGCTTCCATAAGATTCTGGGTACCGGGATTCGTTGCTCTTTCCTTAGGAAATGTAAAAGAATCATAGGAAATCTAAAGAATCATAGAGAATCCTTGGAGTCCTTGGAACCTAGCGAAATTTTGGATTCTTGGATTTCTTAGTTTTCCCATTGCCACATCCATACCGACACCACACACGTACACCCATAGTCGCATCTGCACTCACACACACTCACCGACATCCACACTCACACTGATCGTCATATTATTGTTATCCCTCATGTTCTTTAATTTTTAGAATGTCTACACAATCGATCGAAATGAAAGTCTTGGAGAATATGCCGACATCGATTCGTACTAGAATCCCCAGTTCGAATGGATCATATTCACAAAATGTATCGTCCTCTCCTCACTATACCACAGATATATCACCTGACTTAACTAAATGTCATTATGAACCTATCAGTTCAGCTCAAAAATTGTCTCTATTACTTTTACGTTCATATCGTTATTCTTATCGACAACGATATTGCAAATGTATTCCGACTATTTTCTGCGAATTGTTATTACCAATTATTTTGCTAAGTAGTCTTATTTTAATTCGATGGAGTATGGGTGGACTTCAGATAAAATCAGATTCCAACGATACAGATATTGTCATTAACCCATTCGGAGGCCCGGGATGTTCAGGAAAACTAAATATCTCACCGGCTCTGTCGAACAGTCTCTTGACTAGATGTTTTAAATTTCCACCAAGCTATGAGTCATCCAATTCGAACCCGTCTGTCTCTCTTCCTAGTTCTCATGATGTTTCGAATACGACCAATTTGATTTTTCAACCAAATACATCAGCTGTTAACGAACTTGTTGATTTAGCTCGCCAACATTTAATAACAATAAATTGTCTCAATACTAAAGTTCGGTAAGCCATATTTGGTATATTTTACTTTTAATCTTTGTATTACATTCGAAGGACTCAAAATCCCAATGAGGACGAAGATAATCAGCTTTTACAGAACACAACGGAAAATAACATCATTATCATTTTTGACTCACCATCTTCGCTTAAAACTGACCGTACACTAGCATGTAAGTCAATTTACGAACGTGATTGTCATGTACATTCATCTTTGTAGACGATATGTTCGTTCGAATGCCACTTGGACCTTCGAAGAAAAATGATCCGGTAGATATGTCGTTTCTTTCGTATGAGTATCCAAGTATGGAAAAAAATCACCTTTGCTTCGAAAATGAAATATTTTTTTAAATAGCTCAGATATCTGATCGATCCAATTCGACACCAAAATATAGTGAAGAACGCTTTGATTTGCCTGAATTCAGTGATGTGAAAATATTCATCGATTCTCTACTCATTAGTTTTCAAACTAATAATAATGTTAAACTTGAACTTGAACGAAACCTTATCAGTTGTACACCGTATCGAATGGATGCTATCTATTGTATGCCATATTGACATTTTCTAACAGAACTTAATACAGATTAGTTATTTTAGCGAGCGGATCTATTTTCGTCAACATGGTTCTTGGTTTCATTGATATCATCTTTCTCATTCCGTAAGTAGAAGCATCTATGAATTTCTTGTATGTAAGATCAGACTTATCTATTTTTCTGATCAATTAGATTTATCATTCTTCTGGTAAGTCTTATTCAAGAGAAGAATAACAAAGAAAAAGAAATTCTCAAAATAATCGGCATTGAACCTGTTCTTAACAACATTGCTCATGCTCTTCGGTAAGAGAACGTCATCTTATTACTCTTTTGAACATCGAACTAAATACTATTTTAGGACATTCATTATGGTCTTTCTATTGATTATACTTCTATGTGTAGTGTGCAAAATAAAAATTGCATCAGATGCCTATTTCAAATATGTCAATTTTGGTATTCTTTTTCTAGGATACATTGTTTTCAGTTTACAATTAATTGCATTTTGTATTATGAATGCACAAGTGTTCGAAATCACAGTTCGAGCTTTGTTGGCTACCTTTTTTATCTATGGTGTGTCTTTTGGTTTACACATTTGGGCGATTTTCTGGCCAGTTGGTGTACAATATATACTGATCTTCTTTAGTCCCTTTCTCGCCGCACATTCACTTTTTCAAGTGAGTGGTACTCTACTATACATTTTGATTTCTCATGTCTTTTGTCTTGTATCTAGCAAGCTGTATTACATGACATTGCCAAGAAAGATGTGGCACTGTTTCAAACGCTCTATCGCAATGTGCCAATGTATTTTCCAACATTAATCATCATGTTGCTTAGCTGTGTTTTCTACTGGATATTGGCTTGGTATTTGGAAAAAGTATTTCCCGGTGAGTATTTTTTGAACCTTGAAAGTTCTGTGTGTCTGCTCACTCATCGCAATACCATGGTAGCTGCTGAGTATCTTTAGTTAACAGAAATCGATATTTAATTAGATAAAGGGGAAATAACTAATTCTGGCTACTGGATTCATTAACGATTTTCATCACTATTAAACGAACAGAATATACTATTGTTCAGTCCATATGAGAGAGGACCCCTTCAAATCCATGTTGAGTCTGAACAGCACCATGGTTTTTCGTTACAATAGTGAAAAAATCTTGCTGAAATCTGACTGATGAGATGGAAAAGTTATTAGTCAATCAAATCTGAAGACAAAACATAGTGTTGTTCGCATAGATTCTGGGGCTTAAAGAGGTCCTCTTTCATACGACCCAAACAAAAGGATGTTTTGCCTTTACAATAGAAAAGAAAACTCGTCCTAAAATCTGATTGGCTAAAGGCTTTTTTCTCTCGCTCAAACAGATTTGAGAATGGACTTTCCCAATATTATAGGGATAAACTATAGTGTTGCTGGCGTCGATCATAGGTTTAGGCGAGTCCTCTTTCAGATGGTTCGACCGACTCCTCGCGTTCTTCTTTCAAATCCTAAATTCAACTCTCAAAATGTAGAAAAGTAGACGAAATAAAAAAATGAATTTGAATGATTCTGAGTGATTCTAGAGATTCTAAATGATTCCATGTGATTTCAACGATTCTGAAGCTAGGGAATCAGCTGTTTCTCCCTTGAATTAGACTCTAAAAAGATACGGTCAGTGAATCCAATCTGCTTCTCTGTTGTATCCATTTTGAGAAGCCCTAAAGATAGATTGATATTAAGTGTTGGTTGGTGAGATAAGCTTTATCACTACTTGTTTAGGCCAATATGGTATTCCAATGGATTGGAATTTTGTTTTTAAAAAGTTATATTGGCGTCCAAAGATTGTTGACAATTCTAATCTTTCGTATCCAAACAATACGGCTGCACCCAAAGATAATCAGACTTCTGACTTTGAACTTGTTGCGACTCAAAATCGAGCCGTTGTACGTGTAAAACATTTGAGAAAAACGTTTAGTCCTGACAAAATCGCTGTCAATGATGTTTCCTTCGATTTGTACGAAAATCAGATCACATCTTTGCTTGGCCCAAATGGTTCGGGCAAGACAACGGTCTTCAATTGCTTGATTGGTATGTATAAACAGACATCTGGCACAGTTAGTATCTTCACCGAAAATGGTGTCGACTACGATACACAAGATAACATGGATTTGCTAAGAAAGTCAATAGGTTATTGTCCACAGCACGATATTCTTTTCGATCAATTTACTGTTGAAGAACAAATACAGTTCTATGCTACTGCTCGAGGTATATAGGATTTGACAAGTACCACAAGTGTTGTTTTTCTTTCTCTAGGATTTAATAGAAATAAACAAGCAATTGTCTCTGAAATGCTTCGTGTAATAGGTCTAAAAAATGAGGGACATCTTTATTGTTATGCACTATCTGGTGGTATGAAAAGACGATTATCATTGGCTTGTGCATTTGTGGGTAATACGAAAATTGTCCTTCTTGATGAAGTAAAAATAACTGGGTTCGTAGACTACAAAAAAAAGAACACAATTCTCTTTTCTAGCCATCTAGTGGACTCGATCCAGACACTCGTCGATCGCTTTGGGAATGGTTACGAACAATGAAAGAGGGCAAAACTCTTCTATTAACAACTCATTTTATGGAAGAGGCTGATGCACTTTCCGATCGTATCATTATTCTTGCTGATGGGAATATTAAAGTAGATGGTACAGCGAGAGAATTAAAAGAAGAATATGGATCAGGTATGAATATCCGCTATTTAATCTTTTTCTTATTATATGTACATTTCCGATTACTCGTAGGTTACAAATTTATCATCGTTAAGGAATCGAGTTGTCGATCAAAAGACATCAAAAAAGAATTACAGCGATATTTACCACAGCTAACCATCGAAAAGGATACATCAGGTAGTGATATAGTAATTCGTACAAATCAACAACCGAATAACCAATTTGTTAGTGCTCTACGAAAACTCGAAGAAATGAAAGAAGCAAAATTGATACGCACTTACGGTGTGCAAAATAGTACTATGGATGATGTCTTTCTGAAAATTACTCGCGATGTTAAATCAGAAGGTCAATCTGAAACAACAGCAATTGATATTGAACGAACTGGTTCGTATAAGAATCGATTTTTGATTCTAAAGATCTTTGCTGTTTTTGAATAGATGAACTATGTTGTTATGTTTTCGACGACCGACAATTTGAATCAGGTTTCAAATTCTATTGGAGTCAGTTTTATGGTTTAGTGATAAAAACTTTACGCATTCGGTATCGTCGTTGGGCATTGGCAGCGATCATTCTACTTCTGCCTATTATTTATAATCTCCTTTCAAATTTGATCGTACAAAGTCAGCAAAACGCCGCCATATTTGAAATGAAACTGAATGCACTCAACCCACAAACGATAGTATATCAAGCTGAACCAGCAATGGAGAATTTCTTACGCGCAGCTCTCGACTCTAAATCAAAACTCATCAAAGGACCCGGAAACACTCTATCTGAAATGCACGAGAATATTCGGCGTAAGCTAATCATTTTGTTTGTCCTATTTTCGTTATATCTGATGTTTTAGAACAACGAATACAGCGTCCATATACATATACAGATATTTATCTCGGTGTACACATATCAGAACCAACTGGAAATACGTTCAAGATACAAGCTCTCACATCGAATTTAATTTCCAGTTATGAACTTCTCTCGTTAGCATCAGATACCTTCTTCAAACGAGCCATAAATGACACAAATGCCAATATTCAAACAACCCTTGCATATCGAAAGACGGGCAATTATTCTCTTCAGCAACCATCAGCCGGAGGTATTCTGAGTTCGCTGGATGTTGCTTCGTGTTCTCTGAAATTTCTACCTCCATCACTACTACTCGAAGTGTAAGCAACATGGAACAGTAAAGCTTATTTAATTTCTTGATGTCTTTTTTCTTCAGATTTCTCTATTATATCTTCTTCTTCTATGCGACTGTATTTTTGATCAATGAGCGCAAAGATAGTTTCTTATCGCTATTGAATATCAGTGGCCTTCAGTAAGTGGTATAGATTTTATATTCGATCAGTATGCGCTTCTTTTAGTCCCGCACTCTACTGGTTATTCAATTATACCTTCGATATTTTATCGGCTGTTATTTGGTTCTGCTATTTGCTTGCTATATATTGCATTGTCGATGTATCGTTCAATGGAACGCCAAGTAGTCGACCGATAATGCTACTTTCACTTGCCACATTTTCTGAGCCCTTTCGTCTACGCACACAATTCTATCCATTGACAATTCTAATTGCTTTGCCGACATTACCATTTGTCTATCTTCTCACAAAAGTATTTCGAAATGATATTTTAGTAAGTAATTGATAAAATTCTCTTGATTTATCTTTCTTTATTAATAGGGCGGTTTGGCTATTTGTTTTCTATTAGTCATTCTGCATTTCGTCAGTCTGATAACACCTGTTTTGGCGATGATTGTTAGTAACAAGCTCGTGATCAATATCTTGTACTGGGTATTCAATATCATATGTCCATCAATCAATGCTCAAGTAATTGTCAGTTATCTGTTAGCTCAAGCAAGTCAGTTTTGCAGAGGAATGAATAGTGATACTTTGAAAATGTCGGATGAAGGGAGCACACTAAATAATCAAATTGGCAATGATACGATATGGGCAAATATATTGGTTCTTTTTCTGCACATTGTGGGTATTTTACTGCTGCTGATTATGTATGACAGTGGTTTCTTACAATTTTCTTGGGCCTGTTCTTCAAAGAAATCTTCAACTGATGAAAGGGAATTGGATGATGATGTTGCAGCTGAACGTAATCAAATTTTGAATAATATGAACTTGTCATCAGCACGAAATTCCATCGGACCTGACAGGGATGTTAATAGATTGGATCATCTGATTGTACACGACCTTGTCAAATCCTATCCGCTGCATCGTGCAGCAGCTGTTGATCATTTAACATTTGGTGCCAGACGTGGCGAAGCATTTGGTTTACTTGGTTATAATGTCTGTATAAACTATTTCTAGGAATATCAAGATTCATTTGTATATTGTAGGGTGCTGGAAAGACAACAACATTTCGTATTGTTGTTGGTGATTTGATGGCAACAGAAGGCACGGCTTATATCGACGGACAAAATATCCGTCGTCGATTGACCTCCATACGCCGTTTGGGTTATTGCCCACAACAAGATTGCAGTATGGACTTCTTGACAGTACGAGACAGTTTCTATTTATTAGCTCGTATCCGTGGTGTGTCTCGTAAACGTATCGATTCAATGGTATCCTATATGATTACATTATTTCTACTCGAATCATTTGATAATAATTACATTCATCAATTGAGCGGCGGTACTAAACGACGACTACATGCTGCACTTGCGTTGATTGGTAAAGGAAAATTTGAACACTGACAATAATCAGAGGAGAATTTTGTATTGTAGGACCACCTCTTGTTGCTATTCTGGATGAACCGACGACTGGTGTTGATCCTAATGCTCGACAACAAATGCAAAAAGTCTTTCTTAATGCAGTCAAAGCACAAATGACAATTATTTTGACCAGTCATTCAATGGATGAATGGTGAGTGACAACAGTGACTTTTCACATTCTTATAAGCTATTTTCTAGTGAACGTGTTTGTAATCGTCTTGGCATTATGAAATCAGGTCAATTAACTTGTCTTGGAACTATTCAACATTTGAAATCAAAATTCGGTCGAGGCTATATGGTCAGTATCCAAGTTCAATCGATAGCCAATGACTCGAATGCATCAAACATGCATTCTGTTCTATCATTTTTACGTGATCAGAATCAATTCCAAATTGAAGTCAAAGAAATATTAAAAACGACGGGTCAATTTCAAATTTTGGAAAGCACACCGGCAGAATTGTTCGAATTACTTGAGCAAAACAAAGAACGATTGAATATTGAAACATATACGATTTCGCAGACAACACTCGAACAGATTTTTCTCTCGTTAGGTAAAACAAATTCGACCAATGATTCATAAATGTCAGTTTTTCATGTATCTGTATATCTTTGTATATGTACGTGAATGTTGTTTTCAATATCTAAACACTCTCTTTAATAAAATCAGTTTTCTTAATGCAATATACTTTTCAAGATAATGATATTTCTTGTTTTCATTTTTTTAGTAAGAATGCCCATAAAAGCATTAACATCATATACAAGACCAAGGGTGGGTGTGTTTGCTTGTTGATGTGTGTCATGGCCTTCAGCTATGATAACTCATCCTATTCTTCTCGGTGTCATGTATACGATCAGGCTTTCTTGCTTGACTAGGTGTGGGTGTGGATATATGTGAGTACTGGCGGGTGTGGGTGTGGGTGTGGGTGAGGGTGTGGATGTAGCTAAATATAGATGAATATCTATATTTACATCCACACTCACATCCAACCTCAAACGTCTTTCTTTATTTTTCCCATTAAGTTGTTTTGAACACCCAAAATCTTATCATTTTCATATTTCGACTGTTTTTCTTCGATATTTTTATCCTTCGATATTTTTATACTTCGACATCTTTATACTTCGACATTTTATTTTCGACCTTAGTTGGGAGAATCGGTAAGTTGTTTGTTTCTATTCCTTCTTCTTTTTTTTTATTAAACAAAAGACAAATTTCAATAATTATAAAAAAAATTGAAAACGGCGGAAAGACAATAAAAACGATGGTAGTTTATACAGATGATTAGTTCAATGCAAAAGTAATTATATATTATTATTTTTTTTTAATAGTAAGTCGTTTATTTTCATGGATTTCAAATAGTACTTTTGTAAGTAAATATTTCGAAAGGTTAACTAATATACTGGGAGGAAAAAATCATCATATATTTTATTCGATAATTTTTAACACTGGTGTTGTTTCTGCTAATACACGATCTTTCACTTTTTGCAATATTAATAAACGTTTAGTATCCAGGTTGAACAATCCGGCACGGAAAGGGCCGCTTCCGTGATATTCCGGAGGTTCCATGGAATCTTGCGTCAGAAATCATCGTCCTGGGTACTGTTAAGCTTTATGTATGTAATGACTAAGATCTGAACGTACCAGATATTCCCAGTGTGGCTGATGATTTAGTTCTTGATGGTGATTTAATTGATGATGGTTCATCAGGCACATTGCTAACGTCAAAAGTTACAGTTTTAGCATTATTTGTTACTGGCAATCATTTTTTCAACGAAAAAGTGAAGTACAACATATAATTCAAATGCATCCTAAAACAAAAATATAATTGATGTACGAAATTAGATATACAAAGTGACGAAAAACGAATAGCTTATATACATATGCCTCTAAGTGAACGTGTTTTCTTTGTGCACCTCGATATATGAATAAACTAAATAAAAAAAATATATATGTACGTATGATTAGATCTATGCAAAACAAAGGATATACATAATTGATAAAGAAAAGACTGACAATTTAGTTTACACACCAACAAAGATGTTCAAGGGTATTACAAGATGATTTAATGTGATAACGAAAAGAAATACAAAATCTTCTTCACATATTACCAAAGAAAACATCAAGGGTATCAAACAATGACGTGGCTTCAATTAAAAGACAGAAGGGTGTGGGTGTGGATGTAAGATATAAACAGGGCTCACAGTGATACCCACAGACACCTCTGAAGTGGAAATATGAGTGAGTGCAAAAAACACAAGAGGTACTACTCTTTCGCCCGCACCCACACCACGTGCATAATTTATTATAGATGTAATATAATAATACATAAAAAATTCAGATAACTTTGATAATAAATATATAAAGATCATAAAACAAGTCTGTAGAATAATCGTTATGCTGTAAAAAAAAGATTTGTAGTAAAATGATGAAATAGAAATTTATATTTATTTTATGATTACGATTAAGTTTCGATTTGAAGGCGGTATTTTGTCTCCGATATAAAAAATATTTAAAATATTGATTTAGATGCAAGATTAACGAAATATATTATAAATATCCAATATTTTAAGGATTACATTTAACCCTTTGGAAACGAGCGTATTATATCTACTACTTTGAATATTTTCACAGAAGTCGTTTATTACAGTGTTCTGTAGAACAGGATAAGATCTCTTGTAAACGTTTTGATCGAGTGGAAAATTTACCTTTCATCTGTATTATAAAATCATAATCAACTTTATCCATATGATCATTCATTAAGGTATTTTACAAAAAATATTTTTCGATTTTTTTTCTCTTTTATTTTGTTCTCAGGTATCTTAAGTAGAAGATGCACAATAACATCACGCACAAATATCGATTAATATAGTTCCAAGAGAAACATTAAATAGTAAAGTAAATTCTTGTAGTCTTCATAACAATTTTTGCATTCTCTAACACACAATAAAAAAGCGAGACGCGTGGATAGAAAATGTCTTGTTGTATTTTTTATTCTATACAAATTAAACATATAGAAGAACTATAAAACCAATGTGAATTTTTCAATATTTGACATACTAAATAAAAACGAATAAAATATCATAGGTTTTAAATATTTAATTGAATAAGGTGAGTGTGAGTATAATGAAAATAAACTATATACTTTCATCAATTCATATATACTCATACTCACAAAGTACATCCTCAGTTTCAATGAATTTGTAATAAGTTATCAGATCTAATTGACGACATCTTATAGATATTTCCAACAATACTGTTCTACTCATATCATTCTCAAAAACCATTTTTTTCTTTGGTCCAACGATATGAACAATCCTGGTACAGATTCGACTCTTATTATATATGATCCTATGATTCAGTTAATAAAAATCTTTATCTTTTAATCATATATATATTTTATTAAACGCAAATGTTAGTATTAATGTCAATATTCAAATAAAACAAAACACACAAACCAATAGTTTTGGGGACGAATAGAGAAAAATGTTAGTCGGGAACAAAAGAAAGGTCAGTTTCACACCTTGATAAATAGCTTGATTATGAAATAAAATAAAATAGTGTCAAATGTTCGAGACAAGAGAAAACTGTCTTTAACGTCGAAGAATATTTTTCATTCGTCGTTGATGTCTTGTTTTTGCAGCGGTGTTTGATGGTTTGAACGTATTCGAGAATTTTGTAAAAGCAGCATACATTGCCAGAGCGTGTACAGGCATAAAAGCAACCATGAGAACAGCTGACATAATTGCAACGGGTTGTTTACATGCATTTTCCTAATATATATATTTATGTAAAGAATATCAATCATATTTTAGTAGAAACTTACGAAATCTAGTGGATAAAAAACAGGAATAGTCGATTCAGTAGTTACACCTGTGGTGGTTGGACCTGCTGTTGTTGGACCTAGAATACAAATTAAACAGTTATAAAGTAGTCTATCAAAAAGAAATATTTTATTGAAAATGTTATTTCTTACCAACTGTAGTTGGAGGTGTAGTAGTGACAGTTGATGTAGTTGTAGAAGCATTCGTGCTAGTTACTACTATTCCACTTGTTGTACACTATGAAAAAAGTATAATATTAAGAATAAAAAATAATAATTTAAATAAACTTACTGCAGTATTGATTGAAGTAGTGGTTGTTCCTAAGCTTGTAACTGTATGAGTTGTTGGTGGAGTAGTAGTTGTTGTGGTTGTACTTGAAAGTGCTGGATTCCAGATATCGAATCGCCAAAATGTTTTATCAGTAATGGCTAACGATTCAGCATCTTTACAATTACAACGATTAGGATAAAATATTTAATCTTTCGCTTTGACGGAAAAAATAGACAAAAAGACTTACGACAAAAAACACTTCCACTAGCAAATCCATCACCCAATGTTACATAATAGGATTGACCAGGTGTCCATGTTATAGTTGTAACAATTACAATAGTATATCCAGTATAAATAACATTTGGAGAATATCCAGCATCATAACAGAAAACTGTTGCATTTGTAGTGTCATAGTGGAAGCAGATGTTCGTATTATTGAGAGTAGGACGACCAACTGCACTTGTTGCTATGTAATTAAAATAAACAATGGAGAATATCGGATTATTTTAAGAATAAACACAAACTATATGTCGGGAAAATGCCTACCTTGTATGGAAAACAACGACTGGTTTGAAAAGACAGTACCTATTGGACTTGCTGATCCTTGTACCAATGTAGGACGAATTAAATTTGGTGAGTCATAGCCAACGAGATATGTGATACACCATGGAGCTGATTGTAGACTACTATTGTCAATTGCACCAGCACAAAAACCTTGAGGACCTAATTGATATGATACGGGTGTCCATGTTAATGTCATTATCCATAAACCTGAGATATTATATTTCAAATTCAAAAGTTTGCATATTCTAACAAACTACTATTCACTACTTACCAGGACTTGGATTGCTAATATTACTATGTAGCATTCCATAAGGTGAACTAGTGACCAAATCAATAATTGTCTGACCAGGACAATATGTTTGTATTTCTACGGTTTCATTGAGCTGAACACCTAAAACATAGATTTTAAATATCAGAAAAGAAAAGGCATCCATTGCACTTACTAATTGGAACTCCAATGCAAGCTGAAAAGAATTAAATAGACAAAAGATATTATTATTAAATGTTTGAGTTTAATTTAGAATAGAATATATATTCATACCTCTATTTGGACGGACACCAATAATTGAAGGAGCAGTTGCACATGCACCAGCGGAAATACTGTATGCATAGAATAAGAATTGTATTGGAACTGAACTCATTGGAAGCAAGTGGCTAGCGTCATAATAATCTTCGATTTGCAGTGCACAAGCATAATATTTATTAGCAACTGGAAGAGTGAAAGTCGACGTACAATTGGATCCGGTGAGCCCAGTTGGATTGGGCATTGCCTTACAGACATCTCCACATTCACTAACTTGGTTGTAATTCGTCGTTGTCTGATTATTGGACCAACGACATTGCAATACATCAGTAGCATCATTATCTGCCATTTGTACAATATGAACTACTGGTATAGCTCTTTGGTACATTACTACCGGTAATGTAGTTGTGACAGGACTAGAATTGATATAACCATCAGGTCTCGGAGCTAGATTCATTCGATTGACAATTGATCAAGAACCACTTGCACCTATATAGAGTGTAGTCAGCCATGCACTTGAGGAATAGCCAATTGTAATTGATGTTGTCATAGGTAGTGTCAAAGTAGTGTAGAGTTCACCACCCCATGATTCAATGATCGGGTTTGCATCACAATCTGAAGTTATCATGTTGACTGTAACTCCACTTGAAGGATAGGTAGAACTTGTGCAGTTTTTTAAACACATCAAAGTAGCAGCGGGTATAATATTAATAAGTGTTCCAAGAACAACATCCTGTTCCGAGCATAAATATCCATAAAAATTGGCATACATTCTGAACCAAAAATATCTTTGATGTAAAAGAATTTGTGTAGTACTACCCGTTAATGTATTATTCAACGGATGCCTAAGAGAGAGAAGGATGCAAAAAGTTAAATATGCAAGATTGATCAGAAGAACAAGCATTATTTGAGTATACTTACCATGAAATGATACCACCACGAAAATGGCTTCCATCAAGCACATAACATAGTGTAAATAAGATAGAAAGAACACGGTTTAAAACCTGCTTCATATCGCTCGTAATCAACTGTTGTTTCTTCTTTGTATAACGAAATAAACGATCGGACAACAAATTAGGATTTAACGTTCGCGTTTCTAAAATGAAGGTAGAATATATTTTGTTTCTTCTTTTATATGTTTGCAGTTGTTTTGAGAAGTTTCGAGAATTTATTCACCCTAGATTATGAAACATTTAAATGTAAGGCACAAAAGTAAAGAAAAAAGAGGCATGATATTCTAATGGTAAACAATGTGTAAAGTAGTTTTGAAATCTATTATTTTTGTATTGTTTTGATGTTACGGAGACACAGACGGCAGTAAGTGCGTAGAAGAAAATTTAATCCATAATTTCTTAACACTGATGCAAAGTAAGTCAAAGAATAGAAAACATTATATATTTGTTTATTTTATAAAGTCTCTCTCTCCACAATGAGAAAAAAGACATGACATTCTAATGGTAAACAATGTGCAAAATAATTTTAAAATCTATTGTTGTTGTATTGTTTTGATGTTGTGAAGAGACAGAGGATAGTGTGGTCGTAATTTTATGTAATTTTCTGACACCCGCATATCAATGTAGGGACGTGCAAAATATGAACTGCTCGCAAGATTATATCAACAATTCCTAAGATTTGGCAGAAAGTGAAATATCTTTTCAAATTTTTTGGATTAGACTGTGTACATTATTGACTCAAAATTCTTTTTTTTCTACAACAAAACATTCCATCGTAGTATGTTTCTTTGGTGCTGAGAAGTCTCTCGAAAAGCAAGATGCTACATATATATATAGATTCTTCTCTTAATTATTTTATTCTCTTTCCCGTAGAGAAGAGTCCAGTAAACATAAATTGTTTGTTTGCTTGCTTGTGTGTTCACAGGGTCAAAAAAAACATCGAAAATCAATTTTTCGAAAAAGATATTTCTATAGGTTTTTCGATACGGGGAGTTCGAATCTGCGGACTGTTGGGTGACCGTGTAGAGGATAGGGGGTGATGAGGGATCAAAGGTAAAAAAAACATCGAAAACTGATTTTTCACGGTTTCCATTTGTTTTTCCGGTAAATGTGAAGAAAATGCATTTTTACGAGAAAGAGCTAAGCGAGTTCTCGGAGGAGCGTTACTTGTTATTCTATGACGACTTTTAAGTCATCTGTTTGTTTGAAGTATGTTTCCTAAATGATAAAAGATGAATATCTCAGAAAATATAAAGTTTTAACCAATAGATGTAATCAGAGGCTCAATTTTGTTGAAATTATTTTGATAATTGAATAAACCTCTGCTTCATTTCAATTCTTCACTTATTGGCATAGAAATGGAGAGGTGAAGAAACAAAGAAAAGAAAAATGTACAACTTCATCTTTCCATCACCATAACATTTTTATTTACATACTCTTCTTCTGCCAACACATTTGTTACTGACTGTATCGATAAGAACGAAAAAAAGATGGCAATGTTATGGCCAATATAATCGTGACATCTATTTTCTACTTTCGTTATTTCTTTCGTTTTTGTCAAGTGTTGAACGGTATGGTCTAGACGATGGTGGAGGATGGTCAAGTGTTTTAATTTCATGTGGTTTCACATTAATAGCTATCGCGTCTTGAGGGTGTGTGTGTGTGTTATATCCACCAGGAACCAACACTTATACTCACACTCTCAAGAAATAGTTAAAAGTCATAATACAAAATCAAAATACAACGTTGATGTTTTTTTGTAGAAATAGATGAAAAATGACAGTATATATAATTACAATTATATTCTCTCGTTTTTTTTCTATCTTCAATAAATATTTACGATGTAACAACAATTTATAAAAGAAATAATATTAGAAGAAGGAACGAGCAAAAGAGTACATCAATATTTGACAATAGTGATAGAAATATGTATCATTTTAAGCACATAATAAATAGTTGTGTAATGTATTAGAATCAGCAAGTTAAGAGAACAATGAAGCTTTTATATTGTAATATTCTTATTCTATTGTTTGTGCAGTACGAGCATATTCACGCTCAATTTGTACTTCCACCAACTAATTTAAATGAATATGATGCATACGGATCATTGTTAGCTATCAATGAATATTTAGCTATAATAGCTCAAAACGATCAAGAACAATTCACGATTATTACATATCCATTTACCAATCGATCAGAAAAATGTACTTTACCTTATGATACTATACAACGAAATATTTCATCTTTAACACGTTTTGTTTATAATGTAGCTATTGGAATAAAACAAAATGCTAGTCAATTATTATTTTCTTACATTGATGAAAATTGGCAAAGAGATGTTTTCTTAACAACTGTTTTCCTCGAATCTACACATACTGGTTGTGTTCAAGCTGTTAATCGAATAGCAATTAATATGATTGATCTTAAAATGCAAGAACATGCTCTTAGTGGCATGGATCCATATGGAAAACGAGCTTATGCAGTAGGTACATATTACATTGTATGCTTTGAAATTGAAACTGGTATTACATGGCAACTGGATACTGTAAAATTGTTTAGTAACGAGAGTAATTTTGCAAATTTCTTTTTTCCAAAGGCATTAGTTATTACTGAAGATCATTTTATATTCGCCGTGGGACATAAATTTATTAATTTACAATTTTTACCATATTTATTTGTACTCGATGTTTTATCCCGAAATAATGTTACCTTTTCTTTCACTATTGAGTTATCGAAATTTAATTTTGGTCCTTCCGCAATCGATATTACGCGTGATTCAACCATGTCTATATCTCTTCTCGATGAAATGAAATGGTTTATTATCGGTATTCCTAACTTGGATATGCTTCTCATTTTATTTTGGGATCGCTCTAAAGTAGACAAAGAACCCGTTATTGTACGAAAACATATTTCATCACAAAGAGGTATATCTTTCGGCAAATCTGTCGCTTTGCTCGATAATAATATGTTTGCTGTACTTGCTCATACATTACCTACTCTACCATGGTCTA